TTGGAGGATAAATTCAGAAAAGTACAGAGTGATTTTTCATGGATATTTTCATATCATCACTTTTGTTAAAATAGCATTAATTTCCTGCTAACCAACAAATGGAGATCAACTGGGAATTATTGGCTGAAATAAAAAAAACAGATATCCATGATTTGTCAAGTCATGCTGGAAAATAGCAAAGAAGGACAGAAAGAACAGTGTAGCTGAGTCTGAAGCCAGGGAATGCAGAGAAACCTGGATTTTCTAAACCTTAGGAGTATGTCAGGATATACAGGATATAACAGGATATTTAGTCATGTTGTTGTAGTTCAGCAATCCTATCTATGGCTGTAGTTCAGGTTCTCTTGCAGTAAAAATATATGAAACAAGTACCAAAGAAGGTACTTGGACTTTACGAAGGTCTTAAATAAAGTTGACTGAGAGACCAAGAGATAAATTGTGCTGAACTTTGGGAATGGGTTTATTTAATTTAATATTAATCTGGATCTATTGTTTTTCTCTCCTCGGTCATTTGTCATTGGGATCATTTGCATAAGGTTCACCAGATGAGGGTGAACCATCACTCCCAGATGATGGGAGAAGAGCAGTGCCACTGTATATGGTGTCATCCACCTCTCTGCTGCAAGCAGAAGGATCCTTTATGACATTATAATTGTTTCTGAGTAATTAACAGCATACCCCAGACACAAGGGACAAGAGCAAGCCTACCTTATAAAGCTGGTTTTTTAGAAGTATTTTTGGCTTCTGGAACCTTTAGGATTTTCCTGTGGGGGCAGGGATCCCTGCAGGGGGAATTTAAGTCTGATGATGACTCTGTTTTTTCTGGGCCTTAGAGGGTCTGTTCATTTTAATCTGATTTGAATTGATTTCTTTGAAGAAAAACACCAAAATTCACATTTTGATCTTGACCTAGATCGAGATCAGTGAACCTAGTGATCAGTGTTTAGTCTTCAGTCAGTGAAGTCACTGATTGGGGTGAGTGGCAGCAGAGCTTGACAATTTTCATGCAAAATTTCTGTAGTAATAGATATAAACAAAATTACTATATATGAATATTTCTTTTAAAATGTTATGCAGTAACATAAAACACACAACCAGAGAACACAAATCATTCTGTTTTCCTCTTCTGAAACAAAATATGATAATAACTCTTGAAGTATTTTCTCAGTTAAAGAGAAACTTGCTGCTCAGCAACAGGGTTTCAGCATCCAGAATCATAGTCCAGTGGCTGCTGGTGAGAGTGGGGATAGCAAAAAGGTATTTAACCCCTCTGTAGTCAGCCAACAGAGTTCAATACTCCAGAAGTCCAAATGCCTTTGGATTTTCAGACTTGCAGCTGCAGAAGCCATGTGGTTGTTGGTCTTGGAGCAGCCCAGCCCATTTGGACCACAGCCCCTGTGGTCAGCATGTGCTCCATTTGCTGACAAGAAAAGCTGAAATTGAGATTTGGGGTCCACCAGGAGCCTTGACAGGATCCCATGGGAAATCCTGTGGCACTTTTTTGCTACTCTTTGGTGTAACACTTATCCCAGGGTAAGAACCTCACTTACCTTGCACCACCTACCAAGGAAGGTGCCTTTCCCTGCAAGTCAGAATATTCCAAAGAGGGTAGAAATGTATGTAACATCCCTCCAGTTGTGGGCACCCCATGGGTAGCCATATTGCTCACAGGTGACTCCCACTGCAACACACACACCCCAGAGGCTTCTGGACAGCCACTGGGACACTGTGTCCTGTGTGTGGGAGGATACTGGGGTCTGGAGAGAGCCCACAGAGTTCTGCTAACCAGGATTTCACTTCTCAGTCCTCCAGACAATGATTGCTCTCACTGCCAGCCAAGCGAATACTGCATGCTCCAAAATGGAAATGGATGTTAGCACTGGAGACGGTCAAACGCTCCTTTCATTGGCTCAGGAAAAATAAATGTGAAAATATTTTTGAACTTTTTATCTTAAATTGCCAAGACTGAGGCAAAAATTTTGGCATTTGTTTTTGTGTGGGTGGACCTCTGCAAATGTCAGGCAGTGAGGAGGTTTCTGCACAGCTACTGAGCTGAATGAGACCATTTGAGAGGGCACAGCTTCCAGTCCTCCTGTAGAACTTCAAACACAGGCTCTACTTTTCTGAACAGGAAACAGTTCTTTTAAGCCAAGAGGCTGTTCACAGTACAGAAGTTTAAACATGAGTGCAACTTCTGCATGACCAGGTCAGAAATTACTATCTGAAAAATGTTGCTGGCATGTTATAATTAGCTATTGTTAAGAAAAGGGCTTAGAGATACAATCACAGCTCTAACATCAAGGATTATTCAACAAAATAGAGACAAAAGAGGAATTATTTTTCTTTTATTGTATTTCTCAGTGCAAGAATTAATAAAGGACTCTACTTTTTTTCATCATTTTCCCACAGTCATTTATGATAATCTCTTGGAAGAATCAAACCAAAGCGTCAGTCCTCACAGGAAAAATTTGCCAACTCATGCATTTTGTTTGTTAGGTAGAGTTGTTGATGTGGGCTTAAGACAGTGCCACAAAATGAAGTTCACATCTGACCTTTGAGAAGTCAAAAGTGGTTTGGGGAAACTGCATATAAAATACTTAAAATGTTTTCCTAAAGTGTACCCCTAAAGCAGATAATGAGATTCTAAATCCAGCAGTTACAGTGAGTCCTGTACATCAGACTCAAGTCTGTAGTTGCATTTTTGAATCACCCCGGGGGGAAAAAACAACCATGTTTTTGCAATATGGGTCAGAAACACTAATTAGCTGGAATTGTTTCTCATGATCAGTAACTCAGCAGTTCTCCTTCTGCCTCTGTTAGAGAACTGAGTTGAAGAGTGGTTGCATTAAAATAGCAACAAACAACATCCAAATTCTAAACAGCAGTCAGGCTTAAATTTATCTCCCGTAGTGCTTCCTTGTGACAGAGGCGATGACAGCGTCGATTAGATAGGGCTGGCACTTCACACCGTGTGTCACTCCTCATTATCTGATGAGAGTCCCTGCAAGAGGCAGGTGCTGGGGAATGAAAGATTAGGTGCAGCTCGTGTAATCAGGCTAAATCCCTCACTACCTCCACCGAGCGATAACGAAATATAAGCAGCTTTCTCCTTTCCACAGATTCTTCCCCACTTTTGCTGTGCTCGTGAGTCTGTGGGTATAATTACCCCAGCTCATGGCAGAAACCAGCATTTCCAGGATGAAGGTGGTTCTGGACTGCAGACCTGTATTCCAGACAATTTCTGTTCTCCCAGGAATATGTACAGCCCTAATCATGCAGCCTTAAGCCAGCCTGCAGAAGTGCCCCTCCCTCCCTCTCTCCCTCCTGTGCAGATGTTTGAGCTTTTCCTCAGTTTTAGCAGATCCTCTTTAATTCTCCCTAATGACTCTCTCACTCTCCAAAAATAAGCAAATGGATTTTGCAAGTGAATGAACATAATGAAAAAGCAAGGTGTGAGGCTTGGAGACACAGTCTGGATTTTGACACTTGCTGCATTTTCTAATACCTCTTAGTGTGCTAATCAATGTTTGGCAGCATTGCTACTAGAAATGAAGTTCCAGTAATGAGATCTAGCAAACTTCATGGAAAAAAGACAGTAATCTTTCAGCGCCAATTACTGCTGAGAACTTCTTGGGCTTTTTGCACCCTTTCAAAAACAAATCACTCCTCAGATTTGAATTGAGAACACTGGCTTTTTGGGAGAGAGCCAGGTCATGCTGAGTAAGACTCAGACACCTGGCTATGGGAAGGGATTCATGTATGCTAGACACAGAAAAAAAAAAATACACAGCTAGCTTTGGGTAGGAATCAACTACCACTTGCTGCCTTCTTGGAGTGTCCCAGACAGAGGTTGTCTGCAATCACCTCTTCTACAGAGATATTTGTGGGAAGCCATGAAGGTGGCAACTGGAGTCCCTGCATGAAAATTACAGACCACAGGGAAGTGAATGGGCAAACCCAGAACATTCTGTACTTGCCAGCAGTCACAGGTGCAGGTTACAGCTGGTGAAATGGCAAGTGTGATGACAGTAAGTGTTTCACTGGAGGGCTGGGACGTTAAAGAGGAAGAGGAGCAGAAAATACTTCTATCAAAGAAAACAGCCTAAAGCCTGTGAGGGAGAAGCACAGTGGTTTGTGGGGAAGGTAAAGAACAGCACAAAGGTGGTGGCCAGAGGCATCCGGAACCACTGTGGGCACCCCTGCTCTGTTGTGCCAACAGAGTCCCACACCACTGACCATAAAGTTTAATTATGGCTGGATGAAGCACTGGAGGATGCACTGTGGAAGGATTGTGCTGCTGGGAGCTGAACCCCAAGTTCATTTTGACTTTTTTGTCGTACTAAGTGTTAATCTGTAAGATCCACATGGCCACTGTGGATGGATGGTCCCCACCATGCTGTCCCTGGTGTGATACTGTGGCAGCACGCAGAAGTTAAACTGCCTGGTTGAAATGCCTGTCTAAGCATGCCAACCTTCCCAGGAGCTCAGGTGTGCCAACAGGCTCCTTCCAGAGACTGAAACCCAGCCAGGGGCTCCTGTTCTCTGCTGGTGTTCTGGATGTTTGGCTGAAAGAAAAAAGGATGCTCCTGTTTTACACTGTGGAGAGGTAAATAACTACACTTGGTACAGTGTTATGCCTGAGCCACGATTTGGGAGGAAGAAGATTTTTCCATGTCACTCTGAGTCACCTCATGCCCCATTTAGTGGGCTCAGAGGAACATCTTCCCCTCCCCAGCAAGAGGCCATGGCCTTGCGCTCACTGGGAGGCAGGCAGGACTTGGCAGCAGCTGATGCAAACTTTCCCAGACTCCAGGGGATAACATTTAGTCACACAAAGATCCCAGTTGGTTCCTTCATACTTAAACCCCTGCCCTCTGCAGTTGAAAAGTTAATTTGGGAAAAATGGCTGGATGACAAAGCAAGGAAAATATGGTACAACAGTCTTAATTTTATTTTTAACAATTGTCACTGTTGAAGTAATACTGGACATAACCCTTATTTAGTACTCTACCATTTGATCTTCGTAGTTACAAAACATGTGTTCCTGTCTACTGAAGATGAAAATAGGGAAAAAATTACACTGCTGACTGTCTGCTCAGGAATGGGACTTGAGCAAGAGGAATGCATCAAGCAAAATATGTGTTTTTATAAGTAGAAATTTCTTTTTTTTTTTTTTTGCATTGAAATCCAGTAACTTCTACTCTGCATCATTGCTTCTCTATGTGACAATTGGAATATTGCTGAGTATTTTTAGTGTTGTGCTAATTGCACCTGACACACAAAAAGAATATTACTTGTTTGGCATTTATTAAATGTCACTGGTTTTCCAGTCTAGAAACCTGACCCATCAGCTGAACACCTATGAGTTCCTCTGAACTCTCACAAGGCACCAGGCCAGTTACTGCAACCTTCTCAGGACAGGAATCTGCCTCTGCTGCACGTGCAACCACTGTGATACCAGAACAACCCAAGCCTTTGGAAACTGTACTTAGGCTAGGCTTATGAGAAGAGAGGAACCACTTCTGCACTAAGGCATACTTGTTACTGATCAAGCTGAAAAAACCACTCCTGAAACAATCCCTGAAACAGGAAAACTTTACTGCTCCACTTTCCTAAAATGTCACATGCAAGTAGTTCTTCTGACGGCTTGATTGTCTTGTTTAAAGAGAACAGTTCACCACCACTGTAGAAAAGCAGACTAGCAAGCAGACATACAAATGTCCCAATGTACAAATCAGCAAGTAAAGCCCCTTTTCTACTGTCAAGAGGTGGAATAGGCAGATATCCACTCTTCAGGCCTTATTTCACTGCCACGTCATGATCCTGAAAGTAAATATAAAGTAAATATTTTTCCAGGGTAGGTAATAGAGATGTTCAAAAGTCAGAGTATGGGAAAGATAATGATAGTTTTTTTTTGTCTGCACAGGAAGGTAAGTCTTCTCTCCAGTTATGAAAACATATTAAATGAATGAGCATTTGACCACTCACAGTTTGAAGTCTTTCTGCTACTCCAATGATGCAGCGGGTGGGAAAAACATCCACGTCTTGAGCAAAAGTCACAATGTGCTCACATGGAAGTCACTTTTAGAATAATTTGTATGGATACACAGAATCTCTATCCCACAAACAGATGTTTGGGATCTTGAACAATGAGCTGTGGCTCAGCATTCATTCTCAGTACATGAGCATGAAATCCCAGAAGAGCAGGGAGCTGGCAGTTGTTGTAAGCTTTGTGGCATGTCCAGTGGAGGCAAAGAGCCTGCAAGTTTCTAGTGGCCTCTTACAAAGCTGTGGAAGAGAAAAACAAAATCAAATGTATACAAGAGACTAGTGGAGAGGGCACATTTTGCGAAAATTTTCTAAAAAGGTCCTCAAGACTAATTGTATGAAGTGATTAGAAAAGCATAACAGCCTTTAAGATATGCTCACCACTTCTCAGAGAGAAATGAGTTTGAATTGGCTAAATCCAGTGCAGTGCTCTGTCCTTCAGCTGAGTAAAACTTGGTATTAGCCCAAGCACACTGCATATTTTGTACAGGATGCCCATGGAACAGACCATAAATCACTCTGTGTGCATAAAAAATGGAAGCCAGATGAAGAAGTGCAAAACTTGGCCACAGGTGTCAGGTTCTGATTTGCCTAGCAGAGATGGTCCAGCCCAATATGTGTTTGATTGGCCTCAGAAGTGCAAGGATTTGGATGTTTCAACAAAGCAAAGTTCAGTGCATCAGTCAGACTGAGAACAGTCACATTTCTGGCCTTTTCTTTCTTCTGTCTTTTAATTTAGAGCCGACTAACACAAAAGACTCCTCCGTGTCCTTTGCAGGACCCTGACATGAAAACCACCTCCAAATCTTCCCTGCCATCTGAGGGAGACGTATAGAGGGAATGAAGGGATGGATGATATGTTGTTGGTGTGTGAGTGAAAAAGCAGCTGCAAATTGCTGTGCTTGGGGTTGATTTGGAGTGCTGACTCAAAACTGCCGACTGTGGCAGCTGACAGCAGCACTGCCAAACCCACAGGGACCAGACCCCAAGGAGGGAGCATCCAACCTGGCCCAAGGGCTCTCTGTCTTACCCAGCCTGCTTTCCCACATGGCTAATGGGCTTTCATAGCCTCTAGCTGTTTGTTTATCTTCGGGGTGTCTAATTGTTGTTATGGTAATACCTAAAATTTGCATTCCAAAACTCATTTTGTCCCTACCTACTCAATCGTCTAGACAGCCCACACTGGAGGAGAGAAATTATCCATACTACTGAAACTGCAGCCTGGATTCCTGGCTTTTTATTTTTTAGAACTAGGCAAACACAAAGTACTTGTCCTACTTTCTAGTCAGTAAGCTGAAATTCAGCATGTTTAATTATAAATCAAATAATTGACTACAAAGCTATTGTGGTATGGCCCTCCATGCTGTTGATGGTTTTAATTGCAAACTGTTACACGATGTGCTTCAGTAACAAAGAATGAGCCCTGAAGTAGCAGAGGAAATGTCCTACTTTGACTCTATTTTTACAGTCAGGATGCAGGAAATTTTCTGGTGTGTCCCTCCTCTCCATGATGGACATGGACAAGAGAACCGTAGGCCACACAAGATGCCATTGGGGGCCATGCTGTGTTCAGAGGGACAGCCCAGCAGCTTGCTGCAGACTGTTTCTGCTGCCCCTTCCTCAGGACCCACTCTCAAGAGAGTCATGTTCCTCCAATAACCAAAGAGGAGCTTGCATGGCTCATCCTGGAGCTGAGGATGAGACAGACCATGGTGTGTGTACAGAGCACTCTCATCACACCAGATGGAACCCCTGGATGGCAGTCATGAAGGGGAATGACTAGAGGTTAAAGCTCACAGTGCTCATGGTGTTTTCATTGCTTGAGAAGGCAGGGGCTGCTCTCTCCCCGCTCTGGACACAAGGATCCTAATAGCCCCACTCCCCTGTTAAAAAAAATAATAAAGTAACAGCTCTTGATTCCAGGGCATGTAAAAGAGTCCCAGGGGAGCTGGAGTCTTTCCTTCTCTCAGGCCTTGCACTGGTGTCAGGCCCAGGGTGGGCACATATTGAATCTTCTGGGAAATGGTGACACCTGCTTCTGCTGGACTAGACCACCACCCTGGAACAGACTGCCCAGAGGCATTGTGGCTTCTCCATTCTGGGATACACTCAAAACTGAAATGGGCATAACCCTGAGAAACTTCTTCTAACAGGAGTTGCTCTGAGCACGGGGCAACCTAAAGCCCCCTCCACACTGGTTTTTGGGGGCATTTTATAGCCTTGAAGGTTCTTCACAAAGCAGAGAATAGGGGTGTTTTCACTGAATTGTGTCTTCAGTGGTGAGAAAGAGACACAAGTTTGGGTCCTTATGCACAACAGCACCAGGCAGCAGCTTCTCTGTCAGCTCCTCCAGAGGTCCTGCTTGCTCCTCTTCATTCATCTCACCCTCCTCACCAAGCACCCCACTAGGCTGGTAAGTATAATCTGGAGGAAGACTTTGGGAAGTTCCTTGTACGGTATCTTGAGCACATTGAAGTAAGAAAGACAAATGAGCTTTTCCCTCGGCAGATTAACATGAACCAGGAATGATCCTCACCTGCACTGGAGCCAGGACCCACCACATGCTCAGTTTGGGCCAGCAAGTGCTGATGAGGAAGGGGCATCAGCCCTCCAGTGCCCCAGGAGGATGAGGAGGTTGGGAGGAGGTGGGGAGGTGTATGCTTATACAAAAACATCTCAGAAGTAAAAGGCCATGCTGGTGACAGGTGTTTTCTAATGAGGACAGGTCCAATTTCAGCAGATCAGGAGAAGTGAGGAGGGGAGAAAAATTGTGTAGCCAGAGAGGCATAGGACCTACTAATAGGAGAGAGAAATTGCAAATCTCTTTTCTCCTTTTCTGCCCAAAACTCTGCTCATCCCTGTAAATCTGTACCTGGATAGAAGGCCTTCCCAGAAGTTGCTGTAGATTTATTTGACTTCTTTTTCTTTTCATTCCCAGTGGGATGGAAAGAAAATAATAATAAACTATACTAATGGGAAAAATAAAGAAAAAAGAGAGAAATGAAACCCTGATGCACCAGCTGCTCACCACCCATTGGCTTGTGCCCAGCCCATCTCCGAGTGGCAATCAGTCCTTTCTGGATAACTCCTTAGAAAAGAAATCTTGAAAGCTGCCACCAGGATGGACTGAAAAAACACTAAAACCACTGTCTCCTTCACCCATGGACAGGAAAATCTGGAGCCTTCCTTTGTTGAATGCAGAGACTGAGCAGACCCAATTACCTGCAGTGCCAAACAGTGTTACAGCAAGTCTTTGGGCAGAATAAATATAAAATCGTCCAAGTCAGCTACGACATATTTCAGGCATATTTAGTCATTGAAGCTGAATATCCCCAGCTGTGTTAAACTGTTAAGCTGTTGAGTTTCCGTTTGCAAACCACTAACAAAAAGTAAGCTAAAATAGTCTTGCTGTGCCTGCTCTTGCCTAGCATTGCTGAGGAAAATGAAACTTAAAGCCCAGATCATTTCTTGTTTCTTGGAAAATCACCCAAGTCCTTCACATTGATGATGTGTTCCAGTACCTTCCTGCTAGAGAAGTTATTTATTTAGCAGTGTCTAGGATGTGAATCCTTAAATAAGGACAAGTGAGCAACTATTTTATTGTATTACACGTTCTCTTTGACCTTACTCTGCTAGGCTACTGATGTGGCTGTGCTGAACAGACCTGTGCTCAAGGAATAGTTTTGGTCCTGCATTTCCTTAATGAGAGAGATCTCTTTTCCTTTCTCTTGCATGCAACAGCAGTTTCTAGGCAGTTTTGACTTAAAACCCTCTATTTTTATATGACTAACTATAGCAGCTAATCATTTATAAAGCTAAATGGTTGAGATTATTGTGAGAACTTGAAATCCAATCTCCATTTTTTTAACTGAACTGCAGCCTATGCATGCATGAAGACAAAAGCTCAGAGTGTGTAAGAGGGGAATCAACAGGGCCAACTAACAGACAAATCTGTGATTTAGGGTTAATATGGAGGAGTAAAAATCTTCCTGAGCTTTTGTGTTATTTTGGTGTGAAGTGTTTATGGGGGAGAGATGTTTTCCCCTCTCTCACTCTCCCTGTGCACTGGTCTGTGCACACCCTGTGCCAGTGTCCTTCCAGCTGTCACAGGCGTGCTGGAGGCAGGTGATCCTCTGCCAGTGAATACTGATGCATTGGGGTTTTTTCTTGATGGGTGGCTTTTTGGCAAGGTCACCTTGTGCTGCAGGGTCCATGGGTGGCAATTCAGGGAGTCTGGATGGCCCAAGGCTGCTGGAGCTGTGCTGAAGCAGGGTGGCTGCAGGTGAGGAGAATAAGGAGGAAGAGAAGAGGAGAAGGAGGTGAGGATTCAGGCCTGAACCCTGCTTCCAGGCAGCAGTGGCCTCCTGTCTGCCAGGGACGTGGCAGAGATGCCAGCTGCAGAGCTCCCTGTCCCCTAGGAAAGGAGGAGCCCAAGCTCTAATGGGGTCCAGTCACTGCTGAAGCAAGAGCCCTGTGTGGGGCTCACTCGTTCATTCCACAGTGCAGCAGTGGGTTTTTCTTTTCCAGACATATTTCTCTGAAGCCCCCAGAGCAAGTGACACTGGCCACTGTGCTGTGTGAAGAACTACTGCTGTGATAACATGGATATAAGGATATAGATAATTACCATAACCTTTCTTTATTAATCTCTGATTAAAATCCTAAGTAATTTATATGCAAATTAGCTGCTTTGATTATTATCCTGACAAATGGCCAAGCTGGCCCTTGGCATGGCAGATCTGGCTATTGTCCTTGTCAGCTCTGCTGCTCTTGGGCCATTGGCACTGCAGGAAATGGTGCTGAAAAGTCCTCAGCTGTCTCCTAAACTCTCACAAGATGCAAAACAAGCCCATGCCAGGAAGTAGTGGGAGGAACCCAACAGCTCCCTGGCTGGGAGAGTCGGGTGAGACCTCTCCCTTTCCTTCTTGACCCAAATAACCCATGCATTGTCAGCACAATGTTTGGGGGACTGCAGACTAGGTCATGAGTGCTGGATGGCTTCTGAAGGATGCTCCTTGTACAGCAACAAGGGATGAAGCTGGGGGCAATTTTCTTTTTCTTACAAACTACTGCAGGGTAAGTTACCTCTTTGGCAATTTTCTCAGCCGTGAAAGTGAGTGGGTAGTCCAGCTCTTTCTCAGTTGTGTGCAAAGACAGGGGAAAAATACACAGCTAGAGCCTCATGAAGGCAAAAGAAATTATTAGCTAATTATTTTTTTATACCTGTGGCTAAGGAGTTCAAGGTAAACTACTGAGTAGATGAATTTAGTTTTGTTAGCTGAAAACACAAATACTCATCAATATTTTTCAGAGTAAAAAAAGGTTTTGAATGACAGATTATATCCTTCCAGGCCCTTCCTGGGGACAGCTGGAGAGAGTTAATTCTAGAGGCTGAGGCAAGCCTGTGATGGTTGTTGCCATCCTTCTGCAATGCCTGGAGATTATCAAAAGGCATTAATTCCCATTGTCTGTAAGGCAGACTACACCATTCCTACATATCTCAACAACAGTGATGAACCAGCCAAAATCACCTGAAGACTGCTGGGGCCACATCCTGAGCAGTGCTCTCCTGCAGGGTGCAGTGTCAGGGCCAATGTAAAGCGCCTTGGTGCTTGGTGTGAGCAGCAGGTCTGAGACCTGACAACTGTTTTACATTGCAGATAGCAGTGTCTCTTCCCACAGACTTCAAGACATTACAGCCAGAGTATTAATCCTATTTAGGGCTTGCTTATTTTGCTATTTAGTGTAATAACTATTTTTTTAAAGGAAAACTTTCCTGCATTTTGAAATGAAAACATAATGGTAAGATAGGAAGTAGCAACCAGAAATACAGACTTCAAATCACACTGCAAAAAACCCACATTAAATCTTGTAGTAAATGGGCTTGGCTATTCAAAAATTCTTTCATATACTGGAGGGTTTTCTGTGAAAACCCCCTGCTGGGCTCTTAAAAGCAAAACTACAGAATTTCTGAGTGTTTGGACTTGCTCCAAATTGTGCTATTGAGATAAAAATGCTTTAAAAAATAAAACCACTACTATTTTATCTTATGCTGATAATATGATCTAATTTGATTGCTGTTTTTTACCATTGACTGCATAAAGTGAATTAGACTGCCTAAAAGGACAGGAAAATCGATCACTGGAAACAACTGAAGCAGGTAGTCCTTAAGGAAATAATGTCTTAATTCCCTAGGCACTTCCCTGGGAAGGAAACACAATAGTACTTTGTGAGGGCTGAGCTGGTGAATAGAAACATCCTTTTTTTTTTTTCCTCTTTTTTCCCTCCACATGGGCACTGAACTAGGAAGTTCCTGCATAAAACTGCAAGACCAAACTTGAGAGCGGCTTTGGAAGACTTCAGAGCTGAGCTGCTTGATTTCCCATCTGTTACCAGGGTCAGAGCTGTTCCTGGGAGCTACATGGCAGCTTCAGAGTTACATTGAATAAATATTTCAAAAAGGTTTTACATGGAAATACATGAGAAAATAAACCTCCCCTTCTAAGATGTTTGACAGTGTATTAAACACTTTCCACTGTCTCAGGAAAGCCCAGCAAGCACACACAGCTCAGTGCATATAGTTTGTCAAAGTCTAATGAACTCTTTAGTGGAAATTCTCTGTGGCTTTGTGGGGATTAGGCTAGCAACCACATTTGTTCTTCAAGATCAAATGAATCAGTTTCCACAGGCGACCTGACTTCCAGAGCATTTTCCTGTCAAAATTAATCTCCAAAGTAATTTGTTATCTGTTGTCTCCTTTCCACTCACCCCCCTCTCCCATGTGCATATGTGTACCTTTGGTGGATCCATCCAGGTCTCTCAGTCATTTCACAAAGTGGAGAAGCAGGAGACCACATGGCAGGAAAAGTATTTCCTATGGGGACCTCTCCACCGGGCAAACACCTTTCTGGGCACTTCTGGTTTGCATGGCTTCACCACCCCCCTAGAAACAAACAAACAAACAAACAAACAAACAAACAAACAAAAAAGGAAAATCAGAGACTATTTTCTATAAAAGGACAAAACTATTATTCTTTATGTGAAAGGAAGAAACTCAAGCACAAAGCACATATCTTGTAGAAATTATTAATATTCCTCAGCAGTAGAGAGCTGCATTTTCCTTGTAAATTTCTGAAGAAAACTCTGACAGTCTCAGATGTAGGTAGAGATAAATCTTCCACCTGATTCTAATACACTTGGCAGCATACCCAGTGCAGCTTCACCCCCACCACCCACCTTGTTTGCTGGAAACTTGGTCCCTGTGTGGGTGCACTTGCTGAAACTCTCCTAATGTTGTTGTAGTCATGTTTCTGTGGTTGCCGTCTGTCACCAGAGCTGCACTGGTGCTAGGCAGAAAGACAGCACCTTTAGGGAAAGCTTGCACGTGCAGCATCTCCCTGATGTGGGACAGGTCTGAGATGGGTTAGGAGTTTTTATTACTGTGGTTTTTGTCTGTATCACTCCCCCTTATGATTTGTTTCTTTGGGCAGAAACGTTTGGTAAGGAGTTGCATTGCAGATGGGGGGCTGAGGTACTAAATGCAAGTTCTCCAGATGTTTTACTTCCTCATGGAGGCAACGGGAGATCATTGCTTTCACTTTCCATGGCTGGTCTTGGGTAAATCCCATGGTATTAGCAGGAGAGGTGGGAAGGCACACATGTATCTGTGATGCCAGGATGGGTGAGTACATGTTCCTGCACAATTGTGATGCCAATGAACGATTCCTTTTAACTGACTACAAAGCTGCAGCTGCAGATAGCAGCAGGATGGAAGGGCAAGAACCAAACCGGTTTCTGTGCAACAACCTGCATCCTGACCATCCCTTCCCTGTGGTGGATCACAAGGAGTAAAGTCTTCATGTATCAAGTGATAATGTTCAAAGAGAAACAAGCAAACACTGTAGAGCCAAGTACTCCTAAATATTCCACATACAGTAAGGAGCAGAAGAGTTGTCAGAAAGTTTAATGACTACATCATATGATATGTCTTTCATCCTGTACTTGTTCACGTGTTTGCTCCTACCCCAATAACAACAGAACAGCTTCCCTGTTTTCAGGACAAGCTACATATCACAGAATAGAGCTGCAGAGTGGCTGTGTAATCTTTTTCACATGCTCATGCCTTCAGAACCCAACATGGCTGTTTCAAAGCTGTGCAGCAGCACCTACCACTGCGGGAGCAGCAGGATGCTGTGGCTGCCATAGTCTCTCCCTTCTGCTCCACTTGAAAGGGATTTTAGGTGGGTTAGACTGAGGCATTTCCTATAAATCCCTTCTAGGGTTTCATTTGCTGTAGTGTGGGTCTCTCTGCTTCCCACCCCTGTCATTGCAACTCCCTCTGATCTGTGTGGTCTCCAAACCACAGAACGAATTTTGGGAGAGCACAAGTTGCTGGCTTTTCTGCATGTCTCCAGAAGCCTTTTTTTGTGCACTTTTGTGGTTTGATTCAGTACTGTACTCAAGCCTCGCTCATTGTACTTCTCATCAATGTAACCATGTTTCCTGCTTCCCGTTTCTCTACACTCTCTAAGAGCAATCATCTCGTTTTATGAATGCTGATTAAGTCTTGCCCAAATTGGTCTGGAAAAGACTGTGGAGCAGAGGTGCCCTTGAATTAGTGGAGGACAGAATGACTGAGGAGCAAGCTTTTGAAAAGACTGAGAGCTTTTACTTTGGCTTCCAGAGGGTCAGTGTTCATCACCTTCTCAAAAAGCTGCATAAAACTTCAGCAAACTCAAGCACACACACACACTGGAGACCCCTAGCTCTAAGACATGCCACAGGAAATATTACACTCCACATGCCATACATTTTCTAACTACTTTTGAAAGGGTTCTGAGAGATGGTCCTGCCCAGCACATTTCAGAGTTTCTCACATGTGTCTGCACTCAGTCTGGTTGGGGGTTTTTGTACCCCTCAGGCAAATGCAGTTCCAGCTGGGCAGTTGGTGTGGTTCAGAGCTCCTTGATGGCTTACCACAGATCTGATTCCTTCTCTGCCCAACAGCAGGATCAGCTTGTACCTAAGCTGTTCACAACAGATGTTTGCCTAAGCTCTTATTCAAAAACAAACAAAAAATGATAGACATGTTACAGTTTCCCCAGCCAATCTATCTAGTGCTTAATCATCCTTATTATTGGAAATTCTTTCATGTTCATCCTGAATATTTTTTGCAATTATCAGTGTCCATTATTTCCCATCCTCTCATCAAAATTATTCCCCCATATTTGCAGGTAACTTGGATGTATTTAAAGATGCTTATTATCTCCCTTCATTCTTGTCTTTTCTAGACTAAATAACATAATTTCCTTCAGCCTTACTTCATAAATTGTATTTTCCAGATCTCCAATTGATTTTGCTACTTTGAAGAACTGTACTTGGGACGTATTTATTTTTCATGCTCTTAAGAAAAAATTAAGATGTGCTTAGAACTGAATGAAATACCCTAGGCAGGGCCTTGGCAGCACTAAATTGCCACGAGGTATGTCAGATAGTTCATAAGTGGTGTACCTCAGTACAATGCTTTCAGCTTCTGCAGCAGCAAAACATTGTTGCTTTCTCATGGTACAGTTACCCCTAAATCCTTCTCTGCTTTTTGGTGCTCTGTTCTGGTGTTTTATACAAGTCCTGTCTTCATATATAAACAACTTGTTATCTGAGTGACAGCAGGACAAATGGGGAATTTCCCATTGGTGGCATTGCACCTCACCTTTTTCTGACTGCTGAAGATGAGCAAGATCCTTCAAAGTCTGTCCTTAATCCTCAGCTCCAATTCAAAGCTCTTGTGATTGGATAGGTGGTGACTCTGTTCTCCCAGCACGAGGCAGAGTGGCTGTGCAACACCAACTTTTACAGCTTTTCTGCCGATAATCTGTTCCTGGTTTCCATTGGCTCCCCGTGCTGCTGCCTCTTGCCACAGGGGCTCGGCGCTCTGGAGCAAGAACCAGCCTCATGTTCTCTCTTTGCACAGTGCCTGGCATGACAGCATCTTGAGCCATGATTAACAATCCCAAATATAATGACAATAAAAATAATACTGTCTCTCTAACTGAGAAGATCCAGTTTGCAACAAAATGGGAAAAGGAGAGGAGTTTATGAATGCATTTAACTCTCCTCTGTAGGTCTAAAAAATGTAATGAAAGGCAGCTTTTAAAATTGAACTGCCATTTCTTTAGGAAAATACTCTTTTGCTGAGGAGAGTGGTACATTTCTCTCTGTAAAAATGTCACATTTTCACCTGGGGCATATTCATGAAAATTAAAACTTTGCTTCTTGTTGTAAATCTTTGTAAATTTCCATGAATTTGCCCCAGGTGAAGATGTGACATTTTTACAGACAAGAATGCTCCAGTTTTGCTGAGAGAGGCAAGAAGGCCTTTCTGTTTAAAAAAAGGCAACAACAGCTTTCTGCTTGTGAAAAATATCTATCCCTTTTACTGAAAAACAAGACAAAAGGGGAAAAGGAGTTGAGCTGTTGCAAAGCCGTGTTTTCTATTCCCCACCTTCTGATCTGCTTTTATGACTAACTACTGTGCTCAAAGGCAGAGAATGAAATGTAACCATGCATTGAATTTATAAATCCACTTTAGAAAAAAGACTTCATTTTCTGCTGAAAACTGGTAACTTTGCAATTAAGGTGTCATCTTTTCTGGCACTAATGTTGTTATATATCAGTGGTTATCATGAATCAGCTACTACAACTCTCATTCATTCAAAACTTCTAAAATGGATGCAACATACAACCATGAAAGAATCTATCAAATAATGTAAATAATTTTGTAATTAGGAAAATAACAAAATGAAAGTCTAGTGCATTCTGTAAGCTTTTTTCCATTTCTATAATTGATTATTCACTCTGTCCCTGACATGGTACAGACACTTTAACCTTTATGGCCGAAGTTGCCAAAGGAGAAGGGGACTTATGGGTTTGATTGCATGAGAGAGAGCGAAGTAACCCTTGTCAGCCCATTTTCTTGACTGAGTCACCCATGGGAAAGAGGAGTCCAAGGGGGTGATCATGGTAATGTGGTAAAGAACAGGCTGCTCCAGGATGCTCTTGGGCATACCTCTCTGACAGTCTGGTGCAAGCTACTTTATGGCCATTAATTAACATATTGTGGGATCTCAGCATCTCAGTCCTGAGGTGCCGAGCCACCGAGACCACCCTTGGGGGGCTCGGGAGTCCTGGAATGTTGCCAGAAGTGTCTGGTGGCTGGACTTTGACCCTACACAGGAGAC